TTTTTTTTTTTTTTTTTTTACTGCCACTGCTTCACTTTTTTGATATCACCCAACGGAGTCAGTTTTATTAATTTCTGGTGTCCTGTAGTGGCTTTTCAAGTATACGGAAGTGTAAGCCACCCGACGTTTGTGAAATGGAGGAGAAGGTGGCATGAACTATTCCAATAAACCAACCATGAAAACTCCCTGCCCACAGAAAGCTAGAGTGTCCTGGGGAAGGTTTCTAGTTCAGCACTCCCCCCCCCCGAAGAGCTAGCTTTCTACCTACGGTGTTTCTTGGCTTGATGTGGTGTGTGGCGCTAGAAAGCCTGATGGGAAGGGGGGGGGGCAAAGGCTGATCAGAATCATCTCCTGAATAAGAAGGGGAGCGCCGGATGACCGCACCTCGGTGAGACGGCAGGGAGGTGGTAAGAAGGGAATGGAAGGTCTGTCCGCCGGTTGCTCCTCTCTCGTGTTGCACCTCCACGAGGTGAGCCATGTAATCTGGAAGGGAAGGAGGAGGTAAGCAGGGTGGACGTTCCTGCTCATCGACAAGAGCCCAGCGCGGACCCCAAGGCCACTTTTGAGAAGCAGGGGACGTTTGGGGGGTGGGTGAGGAAACCGCCACCTCCCGGGCCGAGGTCCCTTACTTTTGTCCATGATGTTCTGCTCCAACGTCTGAGGGTCGTGGGAGACGGCCTGGTCCAAGTACTGCAGAAGTTTGCTCATGCTGGAGACGGGGATCCCGAAGGACTGGACGAAGAGAAGCAGCTGCTGGGGCTCCAGGTCTTGCAGCGCTGAAAGGAAAGACCCCGAATGAGACACGAGCCGCGGATGGCTTCCTGGCAGGCTGCAACGCCAAACAAGAAGAAGAAAAAACAGCTTGGGTGGCATTTCAGAAGCCCCACAGAATAGCGAGGGGAGCGCGAGGCTGGAGGTCTGGAGATTGGGGCTCGAATCCTTCTGGATTCCATGAAACCCACTGGATCGAGGGGGGACCAAACTTGAGTCTCCAGGTGTTCCAGTTCTAAAACTCCCGGAAGCCTTCTCCACCAGTGGCGGCGCTGGGAGCTGTAGTCTAAGAACCTCTGGAGACCTGAGGCTGGGAAGCACGGCACGAGGCGGGAGGGCAAGGGGCTGCCTGGGGGATTTTTTTGTGGGGGGAGGGATGGAAGTTTTAAAAAGGTTCAATTCTGCAAAGGTTTCCCATCCATCTCCGTCGCTGGGGATCCCGCACACAAGGGCCCCTCTCTGGACATTTCTTCTTGTTCAGCCACAGGTGAGCCATGAGCCTGGTGCCAGACCCGAAAGGCTTTTGGGGTCCCGATCCCGCAAGGGATTCCCCTTTTGCCTTCTTAGTTTCCGATTCTCCATTGGCTTCCATTGGGGTCAAAACGGAGAGAGGGGAGACACAGATCCCACGCGGTCACGCCCAACGCCAAGCTCTTCTCACCGGCGTCCACCAGCCGAGGGACCTCCGAGCGGATCATGCGCAGCTTCAGCCAGTCCGGGAGGAGCAGGGCCTCCTCGGAGGTGTCCACCAGGAAAGCGGTGGGCAGCGGTTTCTTCTTGGGAAACCAGATGTCCAGCAGGGTGTAGAAGTCGCCGTCTCCAGCTTTTGAAAGAAAACGTTTGGAAGATTACCCCGTTTGTCTTTTTCGCGCTCCCTCCGCCCAAACCTAGCTAGAGAGGCCAGCAGGCACAGTACAAAGCACCTAGAAGTCAGAAACAGCCGCTCTGTGTCCTTCACCACATGGTAAGGAACGCTCCAAGATTGGAGCTCGGCCGTGGCCCTCTGAATACCGGAGGACTACAACTTCCATCAGTCTTTGTAAGGATGAGAGAGGTAGTCCCAGGACACCTCGAGGACCACAGTGGCCCCAGCCCACCTTCAAACAAAGACGGAACGAAACGTCTCTCACCCGCAGCGACTCAATTCACAAACTGTTTGCTCTTGCCCGAGATGGAGGAATCGAAACCCTGTCCCCGGCTGAGCCGTTAAAACTTTGTGAAAATAAAAAGTTTTGCTTTTGTTTTCACAAAATAAAAGGATTTATTTACCCCCATCTGTGAAGTTGGTTTGATTTGTTCAGCTTCTCGGGGGGGGGCGGGGGGGGCGCAGCAGGCCACTCATATTCTACCCACGATTAATGGAAATGGTAGGGGCTGCTAAGGTTTTCCTTGCCTTTGCATTCATGAGAACTAGAAACTTAGCTTTTGCAAATAGGAGAGATAAAGAAAAGTCTCGGGATGCTGAATTCTGTGGGGTTTTCTTTCATGGAGTATACATAGTAGGGGCCGCAGTATCTGCGGGGGATCGGTTCCAAAACCCCCACCCCACCCCTGGATGCTGAAAACTGCCGATGTATCAAAAACATAACACATGCCAAAGTCTCTGGCTACCCCTAGTGGCCTGTTCTGGTAAATACACAGATGTAGCATTTTCAGGAAGCAGAGGAGGGAATCAGCGGATACGGATTCTGCGGATAAGGGAGTCCTGCCGTACACCCTGATGTGGTTTCAGTGAAAGCATCCACGAAACTGGAGTGCTGGAGATGAACTCTGGCTTCCAGGGCCTTCCCGTTTAGACTCTTTCTAAGAAACAGGCTGCTTCACCCTCGCCTGTGCAACTGGGGGCCTCGAAACGCAGAAGACTGCTTACCTCGAGGCGGCCCGAGCGTCAGCAGAATCACCATCGCGTGGACCACCAAGATGTGCATGGTTGCCGTTTCGCCGCTGATCCAGCGCAAGAACACCTGATCCTGGGATTCCGACTAGGGAGGAGGAAGAGAAAACAGGGGTGACCCACAAGTGGGGGAAAAGGCAGACCATCTAAAGGAGAAAAAAATACGGCACTTTCCCCCCCGCCTTGAGTCCCCCGAGGTTCTCAGACGGCCAGTCCTGGAAATCCTGGCCATGCACAGCAGGGGGTGAAGGCTTCTCGGGGTTGCAGTCCAAGAACCTTGGGGGGGGGACCCCAACGGCTTCTGGGGGTTGCAGTCCAAGAACCTTGGGGGGAGGGACCCAGCTGGAGAGCCAGTGACAGGCAGGGCTTCCTTGGTGGCACTCCAGAGTGCTCAGAAAGGGAGCCGTGACAGTGTTTATTATACCGCTGCCGAACTGTTTTTATAAGGGTTTCCCCCGCTCCTTTTAACACAAAAAGCCCGGGGCAGAAACTGCGCGGCAGAAAAAAACCCTTGGAACGAGACGGGGTGCCTACCCAGCTGTACACCTCTTCGCCCTCCTTGCTCTGGCGCATGCGCTTGATGTAGCGCGAGAAGACGGAGAGCAGGGAGCTCAGGACGGCGTCGGACTCGGAATTGCAAGAGAGCTTCGAGAAGAGGTGGGACATGATGGTGGAGCGCTCCACGATCAGCCGGGCCACGTCCTGAAAGGAAGGAGAGCCGCCCGTCAGAGCGGCAGGAATGACGGACGGAGCCACAGAGAGAGAGAGAGGGAGAGTAATAGGAGAGAGAAGACTGTGGAGGTGGGATGGGGTGGGGAGAAAAACCAGGTCTCCGGCTGGAAGGAGTGACTCTGAAAGGAGAATCTGTCGGGAGGTTTTGCAACCTTGCATGCTGACTCTACTATGTATGCCTGGGAGACCTCTTTCTAAGCTGGCGTGACCATCAGTCATCGAGCAATGGTTTCTTCCCTGCCTCTGAATTCAAATTCTGCTTGAGGGCTTCTCTTTCCCTCTCTCGAGTCTGCTGAAGTCTGTCGCTAAAAGCTGTCACGTCGTTCTGCTTGAGGGCTTCTCTTTCCCTCTCTTGCATCTGCTGAAGTCTGTCGCTGAAAGCTGTCACGTCGGTCAGTTTGCCGTTTGACCTGTTCAATTGTAAGTAATGAAGCCTTTTATCCTTTCCACTATTAATGTATCGGAGTTGCTGAGTCTGTGCTAGTGGATAACAAAAAGGGGGTTGATTAATCTGGGGAGGCTTTAGCCTATTCTGCTTGATAGATCCCTGCACTTCGGCTGTGCGGCTATAGGAATGTAACCAAAGTTTTCAAGCTGCAACAGAATCCACCTAGTATTTATTATTTGGTCACTGCCTGTCTTTCCACCGACTGAACTCAAGCAGGGAGTATACGGCTCCCGCTTACTCTACCATCACAAAAATCCTGCAGGGTAGGGTCCTGGCTCATGGCGGTCCAGCTGCTTTCATGGTTCCATGGAGCCTAGAATCTGGATTTCCCCAAGTATAAACCCAATCCTAGCATACTCTAAAACTAGAATATACCACGTTGGCTCTGGGATGGGGATGCGGGGACCGCTCGTTCCCAGGTTCTGGAGAGAACTGCTTGGAAAGGGGAGCAGAAGAAATCAAAAATCCCACATTGTAAAACTCGAGAGGATCCTAGCGTAGCCACAGAAGGTGGATCCATGGCGGCGGGGTGGGGTGGGGAGGGAAATGGGGAAGGAAAGGTGGAGGATGGGACAGAAGCACCCAGGAGCCTGAACAGAAGGCAGACGCGCTGAAGCCTTCTACAGCAGATCCCCCTTGTACCCGAGTAAAAGCTGCAGGAAAGACAGTGAACATGCAGTCCATCTGCAAGTACTAAAGGGCTCGTGGCCGGCAGTGGGGAACAGATTCATTCTCTGCTGGGGCTTTCTGGGGACATCTAACAGGTTGCCTCTTGGCAACAAAATCTGGACTAAATTTGCAGGCTCTCAAAAGAGCCGTTTCTGAAACTTTCACATCAGACGTTTACATTTTCGGACTGTTATCTTAAAGCATAGCCTTCCTCTCCCCGGTGCCATCCGGCTTCTTTAAGAATCCCAGGTAGGAAAGTTCTCTTTTTAAGAAAACCAGATTATAGAAGACACAGAGACACACAACCCTACGGGCTACCTGTCAGATTTAAACCCCCCAAGGAGGAAAAACGATGAAGGTAATTAGAGAAAAATCTCAGGATGCAGCAGAGATGGGTTTTGGAAGAAGCCCAGAGATCCTGATGCAAAAATGGCCACGGAAGAAAAATTTGAGGTTTGCGGGCTCTTTTACCAGAGCAAGATCGTTGTGCTGGCCCTGATCCTCTATGGGCGCATGCTGAGAAAGATACACCAGGTAAGCGCTGATGGTCTGAGGATCCGTCTCCATATGGATGGCCTGGAACGAAGCAACACAGACGTAAATGGCAAACACAGCAGGTGGGGTCAAACCCAGCCCCATATGGAAGGCCTGGGATTTCTAAACGGTTTTATCTGTTAAAACCTATAGCCTTCCAAATGTGACAAGACTCAAGATTCCCATCAAACCTGGCCCACCTTTGCCAGTAGTCAGCGATGATGGACACTGTAGTCCAGTGACATCTGGAGGATCATGGGATCCCCCTTTCTCTTTCTTCCATCCAGCCGGCAGCCACACTTAAAGGAGCCTCAGGGCTGCCTAAACCTCACAGGTTTACATCATCCTATGTTATTATCACCCCCGCATCCTGCCCAGACGGACCCTCAGCCGGATGGGTGGTATGGAAAGCAAACGAACGAACATCGCATTAAACCAGTCTAACTAACCATTTTCTAAAGCCACACAGCTGAAAGTAACGGAACAAAAACACCAAACTTAGAAACAACCACGTTTCCGAAAGACTTTAGGAAAGATCCCACGGAAAGCAGAGAGGTCTTACTTTACACACACAGAAAAAAGACAGAGCAGCTTTTTTGGGGGGTGCGACACAGTGAAATTTAGAGCCCGTGTGCCACCACCAAGGAGGCCCCATCCCTCACCTTTCCGAGGGGGGGAAAGATACAAAACAAGGGGGTTTCCAATTATCACCTGCCGAAAGGGCAGAGCTCACGAGACCCTCGAGCATTTAGGTCGCTGAAGGTCAAAGCAAGGGCTTCTGAGCCAAGTGTGGAAACAAGCCCACGAGACGGCCGTCGTCCTCGGTGTCCTAACCTTTAGTGCCCGAGATCTCACCTGCTGCAAAGCGACCGCCGTGGTCGCCCGGACGCTGTCGAACAAGGGCAGTTTGGGCAAATCCCGCAGGAGCCACTGGTAGCCCGGCAGCAGCTCCGGATCGCCAGACTCTTCCTCCACGGGGGGGTCGTGCTCCTCCTTGTCTCTCAGACCCCCTTCAGAAAGGACTAAAGACAGGCCCTGAGAGGTCAGAAAGGGGAAGGAACGCTGAGCCTTCTGTGTCCCTTATTTCGGTGACATGCCGTGGATTCCGACCGACAAGGATCTCCCTGGGGGTTTTGAGCGCTTGGATCCTCAGGAGAGGTTCCCCACTCCCTCCTTCTTGGGGGCCACGAGAACCCCAGGCCTGGGCTCTTGGCAGCCACGTGCTCCAAACCACTGAGCGACGCGAGCGCTTCCTTTGTTATACCATGCATAGAAGCCCTTTAACGCTTCTAGGACAGTTTTCTTTGATAGTATCTTGTCAGCCTAGGAAGCCCCTTTGGGTTTTTGGCGTCGAATAAATTGGAAGAGGAAAATTAACAGAGACTGCCATATCCATACAAATGCAGGAAGAGGCATATCTTTAATCAGCCATTAAGAATCTCTCAGAGACTGCCATATCCATACAAATGCAGGAAGAGGCACTATCTTTAATCAGCCATTAAGAATATATATACATATATACATACGTACATATATACATATATATAAAACAGTGAACTTTTGGATAGATAGATAGATAGATAGATAGATAGATAGATATAAAACAGTGAACTTTTGCTGATAAATCTTCTTCTCCATGGCCATGCACCAAGTTCTAGGCTGCTAAGAACATCCCAAATTCACACGGCTGGTGATGCTGAAGCCGGGTTCACTCCGTAGACGGAGAGAGCTGCAGCAGACAAGCTTGTTTCGGCTCTTCCTCTTCCTGGAATTTGTGGCCCATCTCTTAAAGTAAGAGCCATCTTAGTGCTCCCAAGGCTGTGGAGCGCCTCGGTGCTCAAGGGAGTAGGTTTGACACTATGGCTTCGGGGAAAGGAGGTTTTGAGGTCTGATCAACCCCCACGGCGGTAGATCATGCCATGGCGGTTCCAAAAGCTTGGTCTACCTCTGTGCGCAGCAAGTAAACTGGGTCAGGACCCCCCAGGGGCCCGATCCACCTGCGATGTACAGTGACCGTGCCAGGGCCCAGAGCCAAGAGCACCCAAATGTCAACCCAGCAGGCATAACATAACAAAAGAGCACCGGGCAGGCCTGCGTTCTACGGGGCATTCCTCTAGACCACTGGTTCTTAACCTTGGGTTACTCAGGAGTTTTGGACTGCAACTCCCAGAAGCCTTCACCACCAACTGTGCTGGTTGGGGTTTCTGGGAGTTGCAGTTCAAAGGCATCCAAGTAACAAAGGTTAAGAACCCCTGCTCTAGATTATCTCCTCGCCAGCTCTCGGGAAAGAAGGCCTGCAAGGTTCTCCCGGCACCCAAGCCCCCCCCCGCCTGGATTCTTGCCGCCCGCTCTCTCACCTTCATGGCCAGGACGCGGGAGGCCACCTGGGGCGAACTGAGGCGCCGCAGGAAGTAGTCCAGCACTTCGCACGTGGTCTGCTCGTCGGCTTTGGGCCCCAGCAGGAGGTCCTGGAGGCGGCCCAGCAGCTGCCTTTGCTTCTGTTGCCTCTGCAGAACAAAGAAATGGGCGTCTTTCCACAGCCCGCCCGCTCTCTCACCTTCATGGCCAGGACGCGGGAGGCCACCTGGGGCGAACTGAGGCGCCGCAGGAAGTAGTCCAGCACTTCGCACGTGGTCTGCTCGTCGGCTTTGGGCCCCAGCAGGAGGTCCTGGAGGCGGCCCAGCAGCTGCCTTTGCTTCTGTTGCCTCTGCAGAACAAAGAAATGGGCGTCTTTCCACAGCCCTGAGAAACCTGGGTTCAAACCCTCGGCTCAGCCTCCAGACTTGCTGAGAGGAAGACGCATCTATGCAGTAATAGGGGTTGGAAAGGAGAAGCCTCGTGTGCAGTAATGACCCCTGTCTCCACGGGGAATCCGTCCCAAGCTCTCCCAAGGATGCTGGAAAATATGGATGATAGCAAATGCAATACATAGTGTGGTCTCTGGCTCCTTCTAGTGTCCAGTTCTGGTAATAACATGGTGGGAATATAGTTCTCCAGCAGCAGACACATAGTGTGGTCTCTGGCTCCTTCTAGTGTCCAGTTCTGGTAATTACAGTGTGGGAATATAGTTCTCTAGTCTAGCATACACATAGTGTGGTCTCTGGCTCCCTCTAGCAGCCAGTTCTGGAACTGCAGTGTTAGAAATATATTTATAGTGGTGCCTCGCTTAACAACGATAATCCGTTCCAGGAAAATCGCCTTTAAGCAAAAACATCGTAAAACGAAATTAAAAACCCAATTGAAACGCATTGAAACCCGTTCGATGTGTTCCAATGGGGTAAAAACTCACCGTCCAGTGAAGATCCTCCATACGGCAGCCATTTTTGGCTGTCTGTATAGCGAGGAATCCGTCCCTAAACACAGCGGGGAGCCATTTTCAGCACCTGGTGGCCATATTGAAACCGCTGTTAAAGAAACAATCGTTTTGCGAAGAATCGGTTCCCGAAGCAGGGAACCGATCATCACAAAGCGAAAAAACCCTATTTAGACCATTGTTTTGCAATCGCAATTGTGATCGCAAAAAGATAGTTGTACAGTGATTTCACCGTAATGCGGGGCAATCATTATGCGAGGCACCACTGTATGCAATTTTTCAGACCATGGATAAGTGAAACAGCCGATACACAGCAATTTCATCGTAATGCGGGGCAATCATTATGCAAGGCACCACTGTATGCAATTTTTCAGACCGTGGATAAGTGAAACAGCCGATATGGATCCTACAGATAAAGGGTCCTATGGTTTATATTTTAGGCCACAAATCCGAGTATAAAAAAACTCACACTGGCTCGTAAAGTGACAATTAGAACCATCCACTCTCCCTTGGGAGATCAGGATGCTCCCTTCCCTGTTATCCTCCCCCTCCCCCCCTATATTTTAGGCCACAAATCCGAGTATAAATAAATCTCACGCTGGCTCGTAAAATGACAATTAGAACCATCCACTCTCCCTCGGGAGATCAGGATGCCCCCTTCCCTGTTATCCTCCCCCTCCCCCAAAAAAAGCTAAAAGCCCATCTCTTCAGGAAGGCTTTTAACAATTACAACTGAATCCCCGAATGCCATTTCAGCAAATCATTTGAAACTTTTCCATGTTTGAATCTTTTAATTTAATTTTTAATTCCTCTATTGTGTAATTTATCTCTTATTATTTAACCTATTGTGTTTTTTAAACTGTGTGAATCTTAATGTTGTGAGCCGCTTCGTTGGGAGAAAAGCAGCCTATATATAAAACTAATAATAACAATAATAATCTGACAAACGGAAACTCGAGACGGCAACCCTAAAACCGAGACCATCCGAGCCAAACCAGGCCCAAAAATTAAGACCAGTTTTGAAACGTGCTGGAATATATTCAGACGTTTCTCTTCTAAAGTCCTCATCCGGCCAGAGGCAAGTTCCGAGAAAGCCACCCAAACGGCCCTCTCCGTCTTCACAACCACCACCACCTACTCCGTGTGGATCAAGGCCCTTGCAAGGGCATTCAGTGAGATGCTCCGGCTTCCCTACCAGCCGCTTCTTGGCCCGCTGCTCTTTGCTCTCCCCCTCTTCCTCTTCCTCGCCGGAGGCGGATTCGTCAGCGGCGTCATGCAGGAGGAATTCGCAAAGGCACTGCACGGGGAGGACGTCCAGCGACCCCTCGCTGGACTGGACCAAGTCCGCCAGCCACGGCATGGACTGGGAGGAAGCCTAAGGAAGGAGGAGGAAGGGAAACAAGAAGCAAGTGGGGGAAGCAGGACAGACGGAGGAGAAACAGAACTTGCCCGCCCAAGCAACTCTCCCTCGGATTCCCTTTCGTGGCTTTGTTTTTCTGTTGGCTCAACTGCCAGAGGTGGAGGCCTCCCTGCTGGTCCTACCCAAAAAGGTTGTTGTGGAGCAGATGACAAGGAGAGAAGGAGGGACACAAAGGTGACTAGTAGAGTGAATGAATGAATGAATGAATGAATGAACGAACAAACAAACAAACAAACAAACGGGGTTTTCATTTTTACTTTCAGATCCCAACTTTCCTCCAACAAGTGCAAGGGGGCATCCCAAGCACCCCCAATGGTACAGCCGAACCTCCCCCACCGCATCAGCCCTGCAAGGTAGGTCCAGCTGAGCCTAAACGACTAACCCTGACCTCACCCAGTGACTTTCATGGCTTGGTGGGGGAGGTTTGAAGCCAAGACTCTCTGGATTTCTACCCCAACAACCTAACCACTATGCCCTACCAACACAGCCTCCTCTTAAGCATCATCATCCTCTTAGAATGGCAGAACTGGAAGGGACCCCTGTAGATCACGGAGTCCAGCCCTTGTCAAGGACACCGGCACCAAGGGGGAGTCGAAGCCCCAGCCTCTGGCTCTGCAGCCTGGGGCCCCCGAGCGACCCAGCCGTTCCTGTCTTCAAATCCATGGGCCGTTCTGTGCGGCGTTTCTCGGGGGGGGGCACCCACCTGTCTCTGAATGATGTTGAGAAGAAAATCCGGGTGCCGGCTACGGCACAGGAGGTGCCCTAAGCGGAGGGACTGGTTGAGGCCCTTCACCTGATCCAGGACGGGTTGGGGTGGCCGGCGGGGGGGACCCCTGGCAAAGCAAGAGAAAGAAGACGCGGTAAGGAGCCAAGTAAGTGCCTCCTTCTTTCTGAAGGAAGCTGAATGCAGGAAAACCACTCATCTCAACTGTTTAAGTCCACCCCACTTGGAAAGCTGCTCTCCCTCCGGAATCCTGCCAACGCGGGAATGCCGGAAGCAACTCACTGGGGATCCAGGCTGGTCAGCTGAGACAGCAAGAGGCTGCTGCTCTCCGTGATGGTCTGCTTGGTGGAGGCGGCCGCCAGGTGACCTTCAAACGCCAGGATCTCCTGCTTCTCCCGCTGGGAGATCTGGAGTTCCCGGTTGATCATTTCTGTCCGTGTCTCTTCGTCCGTCAGGGTACACGGAGGGTAAGAGTAATTGCTAAGGAGGAAGGAAGGAAGGGATGGTTTTGTCAAAAATATTGTTTTGTGGTTTTAAATACAGTAGGACCCCCGTATCCACAGGGGATTGGTCCCAAGCCACCCCCGTGGATGATGGAAAACAGGGATTATCATGAATGTTATACATAACAAGGTGTCTGGCTCCCTCTAGTGACCAGTTCTAATAACCTCACCATTACAAATATATACAGTGGTGCCCCGCATAGCGACGATAATCCGTTCCGGAAAAATCGTCGCTATACGGATTCGTCGCTATGCGGAACAAAGAAGCCCATAGGAATGCATTAAAACACGTTTAATGCATTCCTATGGGCAAAAAACTCACCGTTCTGTGAAAATCCTCCATGGGGCCACCATTTTCGCTGCCCGGTAAGCGAGGAATCCGGGCAAAAACACAGTGGGCGGGCATTTTATTTACCCGGCGGCCATTTTGGAGCCGCTGATCAGCTGTTCTTAAAACATCACTATGCGAAAATCGGTAAGCGATACGCTTACCGATCATTGCAAAGCGACGTTTTACCATTTAAAACATCGCAATGCGATTGCAAAAACGATTGCAAAAAACACATTGCTATGCGGATTCGTCATTAAATGAAGCACTCATTATGTGGGGCACCACTGTATTTCTGGAATTTTTCTTTTAATATCTTTAATATGTTCAGATTGTGGATAAGTGAATCAGTGGATACCGATCCTGTGGATACAAGGATCATATTGTATTTCCCACCCCATTGTGGAATTCAGGAGGCAAAGCTCTTTACCCAGAAAGCTAGAGAACATCGGGTTGTGTTCACTCTTAGTCACAGTTAGAAGCAGTCCTTCTGGAATCAAGTGGAACGAAGCGAGGAGCTATTGGACTCATTTGCAAGGGTCAAATCTAAGCACATATTTTGCTCAATTTCTTATAAAATGTTTTAACATCTTTAAAAGAAACAACTTTTACCGAATTCTGGAATATCAAGACAAGAGACAGACAGAAGGGGAGGAAAAGAAGCCAAAACGGTGGTGGGTTTTGGGATTGGTGTTGCAGAACACAGTGGTGCCAGGACTCGGCTGCTGAGCACGAGGGGGCTTTTTTTTAAAGCTCCAATCCACACCATTAAATGCGGCACTTCAACCTGCAGCCGAAAAAGCCGCCCTCTGCTTTACATGGAGACCAGGTCAGGAGGAAAGAGTGTACCTACTTAGTCATGACCATTTCCATCAGCATCTTCAGTGTCGGATACTCCTCCCAGGCGGTGAGGCCTAAGAGAGACAAGGGAGGGTGAAACGGTCCTTAGAGCAACAGCTGGAATTCCTGAATTCCAGAGGCATATTTCTATTCCCAGTAGAGTATCTGGTTGGATGTGTGTGAGAGGTTACAACCTTCATTCTCCTTGATATTTTTTTTAAGCGCTTAGAGTCCACCCTGTATCACAGGAACTCATACAACTCTCAAAAAACAGCTTTACAACACAAATGCATTCAGTTTTAAGTCCACTAGCAGCAGCCCCCAGCAAACAGGAAAAAAAAAAAGAACACCACCCACCGATATTTTCTGGATTAAAGGCAGCCACGACCAGCAGGAGGGGCCAAGCTTTCCAGTAGAGGGTCGAGATGGCCAGGTTTGGAGGCTGATACCTGCAAGATAATAGAACCGAGAAGACCCCGTGGTCAGGGCTTACCCACAGAAAAAGCAGATCATATTTTCCATTGTCGAAACTTTTAAAGCATTCCAGGTCTATTTGCCCCCCCCTTGGTTTTTACACACTCAGGATTTTCATTTCCTAATGTTTTAGAATTTAAAAAGAAATCTGATGCTAAGAGAGGCCAGCCTGAAAACTTTACCCTGCAGGAAGCTGAATGTTTTCCGGATGGTGGTAAGTGCACAGGTTCAAGACGGCATCGATCAGCTGGATCCGCTCCACCCTCAAGACTTCCAGATCTCAAAAGGGAAAGAAAAACAAGAGGGCAGTAGGTGGTGGTTGGGGAGAAACGCAGACCAGAGAGAAAGGGTGTCCCAGCTGGGGAGCTGGAATCAGATCTGGTTCTCAAGACTCAGAGGAAACCGACCTGGTTGATGTGGGATTGGAAGGAGCCCCAAAGAGAAGATTGCCCTGAAGCCCAGCAAGAAAAGAAAGGGTGCCTGGGAGGGCCCAGCTGGTGCCCAGGCAACCCCCCCCCGAGGAGCTTACCATCAGCCTGCACAGCAGCCGCCCGCTTCACCAGATGGTCAGCGAGCTCCATGGCATCTGCGGGGCCGAGAGGGAGGTCCCGCGACAGGCCGATCACGAGGATGCGCATGAGAGTGTCTTCCAGGATGGGGACTTCGGAGCAGAGGCGAAGGAAGAAGCTGGAGAAGAGGAAGAAGAGATGAGCGGGAGAGAAAGCCAGAGAGAAGAGGCAAGCTGCCGACTCCTGGGTGTGTGTGTGAACCAGGATCCGAAACCGAGATTTTAGGCAACGAGGAGTCCTTCTGAACAGTAAGGACAAACCAGCCGGTGGATCTAGTCTATCACTTTTCTGCACCCACCCTCCGCTTACCCCTGACTCCCCACTGATCCCGTTCCCTGCTCTGGGTTCGAGTCCCGTCCCGTGCTTACTTGCGGTCACTCTCAGGAGGCCAATTGTCCCACTTGTAATAAGTCTCCGGCTGCTCCGTGAACAGTACTTTGTGGAGGCTAGAATGAAAACATGAAGGATGGGGGGAAAAACATATTGAGGCAGCAGATAATGCAGAAAAGCGGAGCGCTGGGGCAAACATCTGGCCCTTCCAGATGTTGGTAGAGCTATCCCACAGCCACGCACAGAGGGCAGCACCCACCCACCCCAGGCTTGAACATCTGGCCCTTCCAGATGTTGGTAGATGGCAGTTCCCGTTGGCAGCTGCCAGCTGAGCAAATCAGCTATCCCACAGGCACGTAAGTTGCCATGGGTCTAGGGGCCCACATCTTCATTCCCCTTGGCACCACAGAGGGCAGCACCCACCCACTCCCAGACCTGCCCCTTTCTCCTTCAATTATTATTATTATTTTTAAGTAAACCTCTCTTTTTTAACCCAAAATGGCTCATCAGAAAGCTACAACTGGCCATTGGGGACCTAAATACTTCTTTAAACGGGGGCCCCTTGGGAGAGACCATCTGGGGCCATGCCCCCCACCCACCCCTAAGATAAGTGGTCGCAGCCTCTTTCAAAGCAAGGGACCCACGTGAGGCCCAACCTGCTCTACACGGATGGCCACCCTCGAAGATTTCAATCCAGTGGCTTTCTCCAGAGAGCGAAATGCTGGCCCCCATCAGGAGGCAAAAGAGGTGTTTTAAGAGTTAGCGCCTACTCTGCTGGGTAGAGAGAGGTAATTTCAATTTCCAGGTTGCACACACACAGAGAGAGAAATACACACACACCCCCAGTATCACAACTCTGCCCCCTTACCAGTGAACGTAGTCTTTGGGGGCCAGTTTGGTGATAGAGGGCACCACCGTGTGAAGCCACCAGACGGCGTCCCGCTGAATCGCTGCTATCTGATTCTGGAAGGCACGCAGCACCTCCAAATCTGGGGGGGAAGGAGAAGGCCAGAGAAGTGAGGAGTTGACACAGCCAGCTTCTAAGATTGCAAGTCCGCTTGTAGATCTGTGCCCATTCTTGTGTGTGCAATGTGTCAGGATTAGGACTAGGGAGAAAGGACCAGGTTCAAGATCCCGTGAATCCCATATGTCAAGGAAAGCAAGGTTCTAGACCTTGAGGCAGGAAGACCTGTTTGGCAAGGAACTGTGCAATGCCGGGGAAGACAATAAACAAATAACCACATTTCATTCATTTCCAAGGACTGGTCTTTTAAAACAGCATGGAGACATGTTCCAGGGAAAAGCATGTTGGGGTAATTAGAAGCCCGTGAAATTGTGGCTCAAACCTTGGAAAAGCAGGATCCAACCACAGGAGGACTGGCCTCAGGAAAAACAAACAAACAACAAAACAGGACATGACATTTATGAATGCAGCTGGTACGATCCTCCGTAAACAGTTACAGACTCAAAAAAATGATTGTGTTTAACTGCCAAAAAAAGAGACAACCCCGTTTTTAAAGGCTCTAGAAAGAAACGTGACAGAGGAAATGGTCAGTGGCAAAACTGAAATGCTTTCTTGCCTATCCTTGACCAAATTGAACATTTCAGACTAAGCAAGAAAGGCCTGTGTATCACCTAGCCTGCATCCTTAGCATGCTGGCAGAAATCTACCCTCTGCTAAGCATTGGCTGGGTTTTTCCCTTTCCTCGATTGGCTTTCAGAACTTTAAATACACACACACACACACACACACACACACAGAGAGAGAGAGAGAGAGAGAGAGAGAGAGAGAGCGCTACTTACTTTTCTTCTCTCCTTTATCCCATGCAATTCCAGCCTCCTTCACCTGGGCAGTGATACTGAGCATCATGGAGACGGCCAGCAAGTCGGTTATGTGGATGACAAACCGGTCCTGAGAAAGTAAAAAAGGATGCATATCTGTGTGCGTCTGTGTGTGCGGTCATCAGCACCCTTGTGTCTGTGTCTGTGTGTCTGTGTGTGCGGTCATCAGCACCCACACAGAGTCCCAGCGATGATGACCTGGCACTGACATAACGGGACATGAATGTCAATCTAAATCTGTTCTATAAATTTACCCTGGGTGGGACGAGACGGCTCGCCCTGGATCTCCGTTTAGGAGATACGGAAGGTGGTTCATGGCTGTTTCTGGACAGCAACTCCCAGGGGCCATCGGACTGGGGAGTTTGGGACTGGCAGTCCAAAAACACACACATCTCTAAGGAAGGGAGATGCTGAGATCAGAGCGCTGCAAACGCCCTTTGATGCAGTCCAAGCGGGGGTTCTAGTGTACAGCTTCGTAGAGCTTTAAAGATTCACCCATCTTTCACTGGACAAAGGAGTGAAGGAGCCATGGCAGTTTCCGTGGACCGCCACGGCTCCTTCAGGTGCATCAGGTGACGTGGCTGCGATTCTCGAAGGTTCTCACCCAATAAAACCTTTCGTGTGCAACATGAGTCTTGACTGTTCCTGCTGCACTAAGAGATTAAGAAGGTCTGGTGGGCAACACACCTCTAGAAACTCTCACGATGGCCATGCTGGTGAGTTTCAAGAGTCGTGATTTTTTTTTTCCCTCCCACTAAGACCCCGGGAGTAACAGAAGTGGCCACCCTCCTGCTCACCTTGAATTCCATCTCAACGTATTGAGACTCCTTCCTTTCTTGCATGAGGCCCAAGCAAAAAGCCTGGAAGTTGATCTCATGTTTGGTCTGCTTGATGATCTCCCGCAGCAACGCCCGCGACGCACGGAGATAGTCATCTTTGTTCGTCAGCAGATCTTGGAACACCATGGCCAAGAACTGGGGAGAAGAAGGGGGGGAACCAAGGATCAGCTTGGCAGGAGCCCACGGCACGGCCAGCAAGCAGACCGTCAAAACAAGCAGCAAGAAGACTTGGGTTTTCAGAAGTGTTACAAATCCCAGCTGCTGTCCACAATCCCAAAGCGGCTGGGAGAATCTTGGCCGCAGCACTCCAAAAAACCATAAACCTGGACCTCTCAAATCGGGGCCCTGAAACAAGGCACTGGGGGCCCACTAAACCCACCGGGGGGGGGAGAGACAAGCAGGAAAAGTACATGCAAAGATCAACCTCAGGGATCAAATGTAGTAAGATTCGATCAATATCAACTACCCACCCAAATACCAACCAGGTTTGACCCTGCATAGCTTTCCGAAGAGCAGGTGTGTTGACTGACCACACAAAAGAAACAACCCACCATGTACTAGTCGATGAACCGGCTGCGTCTCACCCACTCCCCAAGTCGCCCGGCTGGCCTGTGGAAGGACAGGCGTCCTTCCCACTCACTTTCGGAGCCAGCTCAGGGCTGTGCTGGAGGACGGTGTAGAGAATCTGCATGTTGTTTGGGTTCCTTGCATTGGAAAGTTCGTTGAAAACCACCGACTTCACCACGGTGCCCAGGTTGTCCCGGTGAGCATTCAGCAGCTCCCTGAAAGGGTCGGGTTAAAAAAGAAAACGAGTAAATTGTCACAGTCCGTGCCCTCCATGAGCAAAATCCAAAGCCTTTTATCAGACCTCTGAAGACTGTTCTCGGACCGGAACCAGAGTTTGGCTTAATGGCAAAACGTGACATTAAAAAAATGCCAAGTTTTGAAAAGAGTTGTCGGTTCGGAGTCTCAACCGGTGTGCCAGCTGCTGCGTGGACCAAGCTTTGGGGGAGGTGGGAAATATTCTCAAGCAGCAACCCCGGTGCCCTTTTCCTGCCTCTCTCCAAATTCTGACACAAAAAACTGATCACCTTTGTTCAGAGATAAGTCTCTGCTTTTCTCTCTCTCTCTCTCCGACTACAGTTCCGAAAAGGAGCGAGGCAACTCCCACGCGCTTACCTGGCATTCCACGGCAGGTACCACTGATGGGATGGGAACCACACTGAACTCAACAAGAATCGGACGTATGCACAGAATCCTGAACTGCTGTTTCCCCAATCCTCGCTGGAAAAGTTAACTTTTTGGGACTCCCAACCCCCAGAATCCCCACCCCGGCTAGCGTGGCTATGGGAATGCTGGAAGTTGGAGTCTTTTTTTTTCCTTTTCTTTTTAAAAAAGGACTTCCATCCATCCCTGCCACCTCCTTTTTTGCCCCACGGACAGGATCCTCCGTCTGCCTCTGCCCTGCTCGAGACCGCTGGCCCTTCCGTCCGCCTCCGGCCCCACTGACCTGACGCAGAGCATGTAGTGGTTGAGGAGGACCTTGGGCTTGAGGCGGATTTTGATCAGGTTGGAGACCACCTCCACGTCCTCAGAGCCGTGAGTGTTGCAGTTCATGCAGACGGACATGAGCAAGTCCTGGGCTGGTCGAGTGAGCTGTCGGGAGAAAAGAGAGAGAGATACACACACTGTAGGTACTAGATGAAAAATCTCTTGCATTGAATGTACTCGTAAGCCCTTTCACGGATGTCACATCGCTGGCTTCGAAGGAGGCAGGAAAAAGATGCTTTGATGAAGAGAGTAGTAAAATATATTAACACTTTCAGGAGTTATTTTCAAGGAACCTTTTCATCATTTAAAAAAAGATTTTGAGAGTTTCTCCAAGTTTCATGCCATTCCCTTAACAACTGTGCTTTTTAAAACAATGGACAGGTAGCTAAGATCAACAAGCCATGGAGGGCAGGGATTTTAGCTTTTCCAATTGTGCAAATGTGCAACAAGTCACTATTCAGACACTGTAATTAATGAGCCATGGGAATGAATTACTTTTCAAGAATAACTTCCTACGCTTTGTTGTTCCCTAGCATCTGCTCTCTGGTCTTCTCTCCCTGTGCATCATCATCAGTGTCATCATCACCATCCCGGAACGGAGAGCTGGAAGGGGCCCTATAGATGATCCAGTCCAGTCCCTGTGGGGGAATCGAACTCCCAACCTCCAGTCCCACAGCCAGAGAGAGGCCTTAACCCTTGAGCTATCCAGCAGTCCTCCACGTCAGGGACAGAACCAGCTTCGTGCCAAGATGCTCTAGGCTGAGCTATGGTTCTTACCATCAAGCATGGATTCTAACCAAGCCCCTGTGAACCCCATTAAAAACAAAACTTCTTTAAAAGCCCCCCAAGACCATTACCTTGGGGTTTTGCAGCCACATCTCCAGCCTCTGCACGGCCATCTGCCGAATCTCCTTGTAGCCACACGTGGCCGTCAGGAGGCGGAGGAGGTTCCGAGAGACGTTGTCCATGGGCTGGCGCCTGTTGAGCTGGTCCCGGAGCATGTCCAGCACATATTCCTCCACGCTTTCGGCAAGATCATCGTACCTGGGCCAAAAAGAGGAACCTTTTTATAAGCTGCAGCCCAGCGAGCGTGGCCTACAGATCACGTGAGACCTGGGCATCACGGGTGGTCTACTAATGCTCTCTTTCGTGGGCCCGTCCAATAAATAAATCAGTATCCCGCTGTCAGAAAATATTTTTAAAAATCATATCCATGGTGTAATTACCAGAACTGGCCACTAGAGGAAAGCAGAGACAAGGCTATAACTACAGTTCACTATCTTGTTTCTCCAAAAATAAGACCTAACCTGCAAATAAGCCCTAGGATTCTTTTTCAGGATGCTCGTCATATAAGCCCCACCCCCAGTGAAGGGAAACCCCGCCCTCCACCATTGTGCAGCAACCAGAAGATGATGACAGGACTGTATTTGAATAAACGTAGATGGTTGTACATGAAATAAAATAAAACATCCCATGAAAATAAGCCCTAATGCGTTTTTTGGAGCAAAAATTAATAGAAGACCCTGTCTTATTTTCGGGAAAACACTGTATTATCTGGAGGTTTCGGCATCCGTGGGGGATTTGGAAACGATTTCCTGTGAATAGCTGAGTCCTGCCATATCGGCAAAAAAATGAAATAAAAAAAGAGATTAAAGGGCAGGAAAGCTGTCTGCACCTGGGCATCACTTGTCCCTCCTCCTCCGGGCTCATCTTGTCCTCCGCAATCAACAACTCGCTCTGGCTGTCTTCCTCGTCTGGGACTGATGGATGTGGGCTATTTCCTAAAAGCAGAACCGGAATCCATCATCATCCCGTTCGCCCGAGGGTCAGCACTCCACCTAGGCGGGAAGGAAACCCCGAGGTAGCTGGGTCACATCCTAGAAGAAAGCCTCCCAGGAAATCTTCACATCTCTAGACCACGAGGCAGCCTCTGATGGGCCCACAGCTTCTTCCCCCATCCAAACCACGTCCTTTGGAAAGCCTTTCCCCTCACCTTGACAAAGATCTCCGGCCAGTTCTCGTCTTCCTCGTACGCCGCCATGAGAAGGTTGCAGGCCAAGACGGAGGCCAGGCTGTTGCCTTTGGCTTTGAAGTTGATGGAGGCATCTCGGCGGAGGAGGCTGCACAGCGCCTGCCGGATCACGAGAACACGGGTGTGAGAACGGATGGGGGGGATCTCGCCCTCTCCACAGGTTGCACAGAAGGGTGATCCAAACAGGAAAGAAATATTTATTCAAAACCCAGCCCAAAGCTTGCTTCGCCTGGATTATGAGAAGCTGCTTTGCTGTTGTCGTTACATGCGGTCAAGTCTCCGACCCACAGCGACCCTATGAATGTTGTTGCTTAGTCATTAAGTCGTGTCCGTCTCTTTGTGACCCTATGGATGAGCCGTCTCCAAAATCTCCTGTCCTCAACAGCCCTGCTCAACGTTTGCAGACTTAAACTTGTGGCATCCTTTAGGGAGTCGGTCCATCTTGTATTGGGTCTTCCTCTTCTCCTGCTGTCTTCCACCTTTCCCACCATGACTGCCTTTTCCAGAGAATCCTGCCTTCGCAGGAGGTGCCCAAAGACGCTTCTTGCTTTATCAAACTCTTTCTAGTTTGAGATCCTTTGCTTCGGCTGACATCCCAGCCCCAGACTCTTAGGCTCAGAAACCGTCCAGATCCCCTCCAGCCTGGGTTTTTCTCGCTTGCGTGGCAGGTGGTTTCCCCTTCCATTCATTTAACAGGATTCATTTTAAGAGACAACAGGGTCTTCCCTCCCCCCCCTGAGTATTTTACAGTCAACCACATAATTATGCAAAAACTCAACATTTCTGGAATCTGTGCACCTACCGTGTGATGCTGGTGAGAATCTCTTAGGGAAGATAATTATAGACAACGCAACAAAAATGGTTCTAAACGCCAGATAACCTTCAGTAGCACACAGAAGCAAAACAACCCATGGTTTTAACCTCCAAATATAAAACCAAGTTACCTGCAAAGCAACTGGCATACGTTCCCATAAGAATCAACATTACATTTCCATTTTTTAAAAAGCATCCTGCCCACAAGAATGAAAAATGTGCCTATCACAACAATACTTTTCTCCTCCCATGAGGCCCCACATTTAATTTTGTTGTGTACATGCAAAATCCATGCTTCACCTCAATCACTCCTTCCGTGGCAAAAATGTTTGGCTTGATTTTGGCCAAGTACATCAGACTCAAATACAGGGTGGTGTCAGGCTTGGCCCGGTTCATCTTCAGCTGCTTCACCGCCCCGCACAACACCCCTTCGATGCGATCATCGTTGCCTTCCGCTTCCGCAGACTCGATCTCATCCAGGAGAACCGTCGGGGCCACTGTAATCAGAAGCAAACCCAGCGTGCATTTGATCAGAGGCTGGCAAAAATTACCTATTTCAAACAAACTGCAGAATACCCAAGTGAGCACGGCGTCGGGTGGTTTACAATTTACTTATGCAGACTACACACTGCTCTCCCCCTGTATTCAATTTACCAACCTTGGAAAGATCGAAGGGTGAGTCAACCTTGAGCCAGCTAACTGAGCCCAAACTCAGGCTGTGAGCAGAGACTTTACTGCAGTACTGCAGTTTAACCTCTGCACTTTTTTTTCCCAAGTGGAATTTAACTTTTAAAACTAAATGTTCCAGGATTTAATTTAAATTGCTGAAAGAATTACTACAGAATTGCTACAATTTAGCCATTAGAACAAGAGTTCCAAAAGCAGTATCTTTGCCAAAATAAAAATATAAAGTTTGGATGGGGAAGTGTTTTTTTGGTCAGTCGGATGTTCTGGCCCACAACTACGCCAATAAGAACATCAGAAACTACCCTACAATCATCATCCTCTGAAAACGGCAGAGCTGGAAGGGACCCCCTGGGTCATCCAGTCCAGCCCGTCAAGGAGGCCGAGTGGGGGAATCGAACTCCCAATCTCTGGCTCTGCAGCCGGAGACCTAAACTACTGAGCAATCCAGCGCTCAGACCGTTGGTCCATCCAGCCCAGCTCTGATGGACATTAATGGCTCTCCACGGTCGCAGGCAGTATCCTGGCTCAGCCCCCGCGAGAGAGCCCACATATTTTCCAGCAGGCTGCCACTCAGGTAGTCACCAAGCCGGATACAACTCAGCTCCCAAAATCAGTAGGTCCAGGGTGGGATAGGAGGTATCAGCCCCACGAAACGTGGCCAGTGGCCAAGGATAGTGGGCAACTCTGGGCCTAAAGAGCTGGAGGGCCAGAGGTTTCCTATTGCCAGCTTAGAGAGCACGCTGGGAGGACCAAAGAGACAATGACCTAAATTAAACAAAGTCATAAACCTGAGACCGTTTAGCGCCAAGTGACTTAGATTTAGGATATCAGGAAAAGGCTCCCTCCTGCCTCTCCCCCACCACCTTCCCTTTTAAATTTTTTTTTTTACCTTCAATGGGAATCACCGACGGCTCCTTTATAGAGGGGGAAATGGCTCGCTTCTCGGCGACCGCCGCCTCGGCCAAGCGCCCCAGAGCGCTGAGCGGGGGCGTCGAGGCGAGCTTGGGCCGTTTGGAGAGGCTGGTCAGCCCAGAAGTGCCGGCCAAAGCGGCCGAGGCCTCCCGTTTGCGCTCGGAGGGCAGGCCGGCCGAGGCGGGCTTCAGCAGCGTGGCGGCCGCCTTCGACTCGCCGGCCTGGCCTTTCGAACCCAAGGCAATGAAATCTCCCGGAGGAGGGTGGCCTAGAAGGTAAGGAAAAGAAATACCCATAGATAAGTGAGCAGGAAAAGGAGGGGAAAAGCATCAGCAAGAGAAACAACCGGCCAAACTATTCCTAGGGGAGAGCTGTGAAAATCTCCATTGCTCTTTTCCTCGTTGCAACACAATTCTCTCACCATTTTCCCCACTTTCTGAAAACACACTTTGTGCCCAATGTGTTCAAGAGCTGCTGCTTTAAGGGAGACTGCAACATTTTGGTGTATGTATCCGTGGGGGGATCTGTTCCCGTGAGCCCGCGGATACTGAAAAACGCGGATTATAGCAAACCACCATACATAGCCCGGTCCCCGACTCCCCGTAGTAGCCGGTTCTTGTGATTTCAGTCTGTGTTCTTCGCCGGAGATAAAGAACCCATTTTCGGGGGTAACACGGGGATAAAGTGGATCCGTGGATACCGATCCCGCGGATAGAAGAGTCCGGCCGCATTTTCCAGCCTGGTTGGGGCAGAAACAGACCGAACTTTTCTCTCTTAACTCAGAAAAGGACGGTGGCCGAGCCTGGCTTGGCCCAGCAGACCGTAACCCACTGGGTAGGGGATTCTGGGCTTTGTGGTGCAAAAGAGGAGGCAGCCCCCCCACCCCCACCCAACTTTGCTTTGATGGCTCTCCCTCCAAGCCTGCTTTGATTCTGCAGCTGCCAAAAGCAGAGAGGCGGGATTTTAAAGGGAGGGGGGAAAGCGTGCACGCGCCTTTTCCCCCCCCGCGCACATGCACGCGCACGCGCCCCCCCGCGCCCTCACCGGAGGGTTTGACGACGGCGCTAGGGCGGCGGGCAGCCGCGGGCTTCGGGCGGTTCATCCTGCGCGCGGGAGGGTGGGAGTGGCTTCTTGGCGCCAGGGGGCGGGGCTCCGAGCCCAACCGGGGAAAGGAAGGGAGGGGGGGGGCGGCGGAGGCCGCCTCATCCCCCGGGACCCCCTCAAGCCCTTTCCGCCCCCAATCCCAGCCGCCGGTCTCTTGTCTCTCTGGCTGGAAGCCTGACCGGAAACGGAAGTCGCTCCCGGCTGTTTTCTTTTTAATACCCGGAAGAACGGCTCTCTTCCGGCAGGCCTCTTTGTTTGTCCGGCTTCCGCCCCCGTGAGGTTGGGAGGTGGAACTGCAACCAACGCGCCGCCGCCCGGGAGGGGGGAAAGAGAGCCCAAGGAGGGCGGCAGCGACCCCTGTCGGTCAAGAAGTGGAAGTGCAGCCTTTCAGGCACGTTGGGCTCATCCAGAGCTGGCTTGGCAATTCAGCCTCCCTCACGTTGTTCTTCCTTGAACCCGGGCCTTAGAGAGAAGGGAAAGGCTGGAATGGGGCTCTTTTCTCATACAGAAGTAACGGGGATCGGGGGGGGGGAGGCTGGTTTTAGTAATTCAGGGAGGAAACACTGAGAACCCCACGGCGTTTCCTCGGGATCTCGGAAGAGAACGGCCGGCTGACCCTTCCCACCGTTGACCGGGCAGGCTGAGGCTGGTGGGGACGGCCGTCCGACAAGACCCACATCTCGTCTACCTTTGGTTCAAGGGAGTCAACGGGCTTCCCTTGCATCGTATCCTTCCAGCAAGCATCGATCGGTCAAGTAGAGAGAAAGGTCAAGTTAGTGTCAAACGTGGGTCCTCCGGACTGGTCCACTACAACTCCCAGAATCCCCCACCTCTTTGGTGAGGCTTCTGGGGGATGGAGTCCAACCACCTCTGGAAGGTCAAAGACCGAGAAGCCCTGGATTGGACGACATTAGATCGAAACTCCGCCGGAGGAACAGCCATGACCGACATCGCCGGCTCTTCAGGGCCAGTGACTTCGTTTGCTTGTTCCTATCTTCTCTCAGTATCTGCTCTCCTTTTGTATGTATCCCGCTATAACATTTGCACAAGAGTAGGTTTTGAGCAAGAATAACCACAATGCCTGTTGTACAGCAGCCAGACAGTTATTGGGTACTTGATTAATAAAAAGAAAACACGAAAGCTGCTGAAGATGTGTTTCCTCCCAGAAATGTCACATCACATGAGTTTCAATCATTATTGTTTATTTGACACGGAAACATAAGGAAAAGAATGATGTAAACATATAGATATATAAACACCCAAAGAACCACAATTATTCCCACTTTCTCCCAATCAGCGTTTCCCATGCCATGAACAAGCTTCAAAAACATGTGGCAGCATCAGATTTTGGCTACCTCCATGAGGTAGGAAATCTTTCACCCTCCAAATATCTTGGATTTGAGTTTCTAGAAGCTGTAATTAACATGGCTACTAGTAAAGGGTTGTGGGTGTTGTAGTCCAAGACTGCTGGAGGGTCAAGATCTCTCTCCCACCTTCTGCTTCAACCTGCAGTACTATGGGTATTTTCCTAGAAGTATTTAATTCTGAGAAAAGTTCAGACTGATTTGAAGGCTCCATCCTCAATCCAATTTCTAGTTCTAGCCAAAATAGACCCATTCACATAAGTGTTGGCTGACCATTCCCTAGGTCTAACAACTGGATTTAGGTCTTATAGGCCAATCGTAGGCTACAGTCTCACTTTGGGATCTACATGGAGGTGAAACCTGTGCTAATGGGAGAGCCGAAAGATAGTTCTCCATTCATTAACCCGTAAACGCAAATTTGAATCACTTGGATAAAATTAGGGATGCTTTTCTTTTTTGCTTCAAGTCTGTTGTTGGTTTAAGGGGATTGCTGGGAGAGCGGGTCAATGAAAAGAAAAATAATAAGCCGCCTCATCCCTCACTTAAGCAATGTCGTTATGTTTTGTCATTATGAAATCCTAAGATCACCTCCTCAAAGAGGTCAAAAAGGTCTTTAGATAAGCAATGCAAATTTTATGAGTCAAAAAAGCAGGCAACCCACCAACCATCCAACCATCCAACCATCCAACCATCCAACCAAACCATCCAACCATCCAACCATCCAACCATCCAACCAACCAACCAACCAACCAACCAACCAACCAACCAACCAACCAACCAACCAACCAACCAACCAACCAACCAACCAACCAACCAACCAACCATGCTTTCATCCTTTGGCAGCCCAAATTGAAATACTCTTCCAAATAATCTAAGGCACCTTCGAGAAGACCCAGAGAATGTAGACGCCTGAGATGCGACGCATGCCCCATCTTCAAGGCTATTGACAGCTGGTTGAGATATTTCCAAGAGCCCCTAAAGTCAGCGTGCCTCAAAATGTCAGTGTCTGAGGTGTACAAGCAGGAGGAGGCAGCCGTCCTCGTGTCCTGCTTGTGAACATTCCAGAGACTTCTGACTTGTTCGTCCTGGGAACGCAAGGCCAGACTCAAGAGGCCTTTGGTCTGATCCACCATGGCAACCGAGGCGGCAACAATCATCCCTGCGCCAGGCTAGTTTCGGCCAATTCTGCATCCCATACCAATGAGGTATGACCAGCATGGGTAAAGGGACTATCAATGTACCAAGAGAAGTAACACCAATGGTGGATTTCCTTCCTAAAAAAGGGGGTCTTGCTCAGGATGGCCAGACAGGAAGAAGCAAGAGGCATCCTCTCCCCACTTTTTCCAGTCTGACCAGCAATAAGCATCCCAGTCAGAAGCTCATTCCTTTTTTTGTCTGTTTGCGTAAAAAAGAAGTGCAAGTTAAAGGCAAAGAGGTATTTAATTTCATCTTCTATCTCAGCTGCAAAGCTCAGAACGGTAACTATTCTCAGTATTAATTTCCCACTAATTTTGATCTTTTCTAATTTATTCCTTCATCATTCTGTATCCTTATGAGGAAGTCAATGGTGGAAAAGTAACCAATAGATTGTTTCCAATCATTTATTTATTTAAAATATATCCTTATGAGGAAGTCAATGGTGGAAAAAGTAACCAATAGATTGTTTCCGATCATTTATTGATTTAAAATATTTGGTGGGATCGTTTTAGCCAGACCTAGAGCAGACCCACTGAAAATGGGGGGGGGGGAGAACCTGAGTTAATTATGACCGTCTCTACTGCCCTTGAAACCAATAGGTTTACTCCAGGTAGCAACTTGCATCCCTCTGCTAAGCTAACTCTGGACCCAATCACAGTCACAAACACAGCTTGTGTGCTGTTGTTGAGCTACTACTTTTGTTTCAGACTCATCTGACCAGTGTCAATTGATTCAAATGATAATAATAATCCCACAACTGCAGAGCCACAAAGGGACCCTACGGCTCATCGAATCCAGCCCATGCTAAGGAGGCACAGCGAGGGATTGAATTCCCAACATCTGCCGCTGCAGCCAGATCCCTAAACCACGGAGCTAACCAGCAGGTGGTTTTCCTATGCAAAGTTCTGATCTGACAGCCATTGGCTACTGACAGCCACGTGTGGGTGGATTCGAGGCGCAGTCATAGAGAAGCAGCAGATAAGAGCACAATCTTACACACGTGAGCTCAAAAGTAAATACCTAAAAGTTCAAAGATTCATTTTAAACCTGTGAAATGCTACCCATTCAGATCAATTTTTGCAAGGGGTCTAAGACGTATGATGGGAAAGCTATAGAGATGGGGAAGGTGGGGGGGGGAGCTCTCTATTTTTAAAAATATATAGTGCAATTAATCCCCCGCCCCCATGTACTGCCGTACACTAATGACATTCACACTGAAGGTGAGTTGAGGGCCATATCAAGTGCGACCCAAGGGGAGGTGGAGTTACCAGCTGAGGGTTTCCTTCCAAGATCTCTCACTGGCACAAGCAGCCGCAACGCCCACCTTACCCCCATCTATGAATCGGACGGGATCCTGAGTCAAATTTTTGAGGTACTTCCTTGGGACGGCCAAAGGCCAGGGATTTCCGCCCCTGGGGGAGTTTGCGCATCAAACGTTGTGGAGCCGTAAAGCCTCTTGGCTGATGACTCGAGGAGGTGGGTCATCAGTCCCTGTGAAGCCAAGCTGGGTGGTTCAGTTGTAGGTGGAAGTGACGGTCCAGCAAGACGGATCCATCCTTCAGCGACGGTTCCTTTAACTAACCGGGACTGTTATTTGACAAATAGTCTGCTCTTCGGGATCTTAGGACGGGAATCTCTCCCTAACCTTGCAAACTAAGCTTCCATGAAAGGTGGAAAGGGCAGGACCTGAACAAGGGAGGTTTTGCATGCAAGCACGGGACCCCCTCCTCATGCAGCAACAGGGGAAGCCCCAGAAGAAGGAGCAGCTCATAGCAACGCAGGATGCCTGCCCCCCAAAATGCAAGCCTTAGACGTTTGGGAGCTCCAATCCAGGGAACGTGGCCAATGCTCTCCCTTCTGAATGAAGCCACAACACACAAGGAGGAGCATGAGATGCCTAGCGGCGTGCAAGGGATGCTAGAGCAAGAAGGCGACTTGGAAGATTCTTGGTAGGACGAGGCGTTAAAGAGGCCGGCGGGGCGGAAGCAAGAATCGCACACCCTCGCCGAAAGAGGTGACGAGGCCGAGGTGGAGCCAGAAAGACCCACCGGGCACGGCGGCCTCCCTTGGGAGGTCCCCGTGCAGACAGCCGCCTGGGGAAGGAAGCGACTCTGCCGTCTCACAGCCACCGTACGTAGAATCCCTGGCTGAGATTTAGCTGAAGATCACCCACGGTGAGGACCTGGTGGAAAGAATGGGAAAGAGAACCTCAGCAATTTCGGAATGGCCGTTCAAAATTTCTGATCACCCTTGTTTTCCTTCCGACAGGAATCAAAATCAATGTTGCATGGAAACCTACAATGCTAACCAGATATTCAAGGTTGGTTTGTGTTTTTCTTTAAAAATATATCAATTATGAATTAAGAGCAGCAGAAAAACAACCCATGTTTCCAAGCAGCAAAAAGCACAGCAAAACCATACTGTTTTTGACTCAAAGGCAGGTAGGTGTGAAGCGAGGCCTGCCCTTCGGTGTCTGTCCCACGCAAGCTCCACGTTGCCACCTGGTTACCTGGTTGGTCAAATAGGTGAAAGGCCATTCCTTCCCGTTGACCACGACGGTCTTGGGCTCCTCCCGGACTCCGTAGACAGTCAAAGTATCCACGGTGATGTAGGTGGCTTCCACGTTGGAATGAAGGACGGTGGAGGTAAAGGTGCCCTGAAGGAAAACAACAAAGGGGAGGGGAAGCCATGATTCCTGCTCAGGTGAAACGATAACCGCAACAATAAAGTGCCCTCAAGCCAGTTCTGACTTTATAGCAAGCTTCATGCAGTTTTCTAAGTCTAAAGCATTCAGAAGTGGTTTCTCAGTCCCCACCCCCACCCCCTTTTTGGGTGGTGCTCTGAGTCCGTGCAGTTTTGCCCAAGCCATACAGGCAGCAGTGCCTGGAACCCCATCAGCTATACGTATATGCTACGGGTGATCCTGGCTTGCACCACTCCCAGGAGGCACAGGCAGGATTGGACTCTGTGCCCCTCGGTTCCTCAGCCACGCACTCCTCCTGAAGGAGCTACACCAGGTCCTTTCCAGCCATCCAAGCTCCCAGAAGACCTCCACATTGACTGGACCCCCTGTGCCAAATCAAATAATCCATTATCATCATCTTAGAATTGCAGAGCTGGAAGGGATCCCCTAGATCATTGAATCCAGCCTGTCAAGGAAGTGCAGGGGGGCTCCTAGAACTGCAGAGCTGGAAGGGACCCCTAGATCATTGAATCCAGCCCGTCAAGGAGGAGATGCAGGGGGGGAATTCGAACTCCCAACCTGCAGTCAGAGACCTCGACCCCTGAGCTGTCCAGACATCCTGGATTATTCTGCCCACAGCAGGGCTGTTTCTATTTGACCTTCCTTTTGAAGATGCTTTACAGGGGTGGTTCTCAAAATAATCAACAACCATCTCTTCTTCGCCTGCCCAAGACGGCGCCCGCGGACATCGCGGAACGAGAAAAGCAAAAGAGGCTTCAACCGAGCTGTTAGCTAGCATCTGCCCGCCCATCTTCATTTCCATCGGAAGGCACCTCTCCCTACCTGTGTGACGTTGAACACTAAGTACGCATAGTCGCCCTTGGCGAAGGTGTCCAAGCTTTCCCCGTCATCCCAGTAAAGGTCCCCCCAGGCGTTGGAGTTCTGCGACAAGGCCGCGATCAGGCCCAAAGGGTTCTTGCGGCTCTCCGAAGTGCTGGATCCGGGTTTCTGAGGGACAAACCAACAAGGGCGTGCATGCCAGGTCCCTCCAGAGAAGTCCCACTCTCACGAAGGAACGGAAAGAGCAGGAAGAGAAGGACGAACACCGCTAAAGTTGAATAAGACCCCTCATGGAATAAAACTGGGCGGTGTTTACAGACTCTGTCCACAGAGACTTGGGTGGAATTGTCATTCCACTGTGAACCCACGCGGTACCCGTGAGGGCGAGAAAAATTGGCAGCCACCTCCACTGCTCTGTTCTCTTTGAAAACGCTCCCCATAGAGCGTGTAAGGAAGTTGTTGGGTTCAGTTGTGAAGCATCACACGGGGCCCACCTGAGGCCCTCCAGACTTTTTTTTTGGCCTTCGATACCCACCAGCATGAGACAGGATGAGCAACGGTTAGGGATGATGGGAGACACTGTTTAAGAATGCCTAGAGGCCTGCAAGTATAATTTTAAAAAAATGAAACAATATAATAGCCCCGCAAAGCCTGTGTCTTTTTGACAAGGGCTACAATTTATATGGGAACTTTGGCTGAGCCGGGCGTTTCCATCACTCTGATCTCCTCAGGACGTACAAGGCTACAGACCAGGCCTCCTGTCCCCCCTGCTTCTCTGCCAGTGGGAATGTGTGACGACGCTCTAGAGCTCGTCTGCCAAAGGGCCAAGAAGAGGACAAAGGCTCTCCGGCCTCTCACCTGGGTGGGCAGGATGGTCCCCTCCCGCACGTGCAGGTTGATGTGGTCCAGAGGCGCCGCCATTTTCAGGTTCTCCCCGCTGCTGTTCACCGAAGAGCCCTGCAGGGGACGGGGGGGGGAGTCCAAAGCAGGGCAGTCAGGTGGGAGCAAAGATAGTAAGGAAAGACGAAGGGCTACAGGCACATAGCGTAGCAGAAGGAAAGCAGCAGGTGACTGCAACCACGGAGGGCAGGGGGTTCCTCCTTCTCTGTGGGCCCATTCGGGAGGGGAGCGAAAGAAGAACAGATGGGGAAAAAAATCAGATTACGGCCAACAGATCTTACCGTATAGTAGTCGTACCACAGGCCTCGGGGGAAGTAGCCAATCACCGAATCCATGCCAGGATCCAGCACCGGCGTCACCAGCAGCCCTCGTCCCCAGAGAAACTGTCTGTCAATGGCGTAGGTGGCCACGTCCTTTGGGAACCTACAAGGGGCAAGGAGCCAGAGGGATGCCCTGTAGCTTTGGCGCAAGCGGACCCAGAGTTTCCTGAACAGAGGCGACCCAAACCTCCACTCCAGCGACAGCACACAGGAGGGAGGGCGAATGACCCGGGGGGGGTGGATGGAGCACTGCACAAGGAGTAAGGGATTACAGAAGGCTCTTCGGCTCCCTCCCCTCTCGACAGACACAAAGAACCACACCAGCTTACTCAAAAAACAGAGGCCGGACGACGGTGTCCCCTTGCAGGTGGGCCCGATGGAAGAGGGAATAGAGGAAAGGCAGCAGGGCGTAGCGGACTTCCAGGGCCTCCTTCATGGCAGCCCGTGCCACCGGGCTGAACGCGGTGGGATCCTGAGCCTGGCGAGGAGAGAGAAGCAGCCTGAGTGAAGGCAAACAGAACAAATTAGACCCGTCTCTCCTAAAATCTTATTCCCCCAGGCATGGTTGGGTGAGGGCTCCGGTTATCCCTCGAGGGCTGTTGGGGGATTCCTAGAGATTCCAATTGTTCCTAGAGGTCTTGGGCGTTTCAGCCTGCCAAACATCCCGGGACGCAAAGAAGGAGTCCTGAGCAAAGGAGGTGCGGAGGCTCCTCAAATGGCACCCCGCATCATAGGAAACTGAGCCGGGATCTGCTTTTCTCTCTGTGAGAAGGGAGCCATTGAAACAAAGAAGGAAAGACAATCCAGGTGTAACCTTTTGCATCGGCTGTGACCTCTTTGGAGAGAGAGCAGAAGTCAGATAAATCTGATGGTTCAAGCGAACCCACTCCAATGGGAAGCTATACACCACATTTCTATTCGAGTCACTGCTCCCTAGTTTGGAAGCATATCCAAATCAGAGACTCAGACAGAGAGACAGAAGGGGTACTCTTTTTTTAAGGCAAAAATGCAGGTCTTACTCTTAATGAGCACATAGGCTGTAAAAGTGAAGCATGTCTCCAATTCTGGATTTAACATTAACGCTAGCAGATTCATATCGAGAAAAACAGTATCCCCCCACCCCCCAAAGTGATGGGTTGCACTGCCTCTCATTCCAGATAGTAAGAGAGAAGCTCTCAAGAAGTTTCCTGGAAAACTTTATGAACGGAGGCCGGGAGCGCGTCCTTCATCCCCGATCCCTGCTCTACCTTCTCGCCCTGGGTGTTGTGGTTTCGCGAAAAGGGATAGAAGGCTCCCAGTTGCGTCCAGCGAAGGCACAGCTCTTCCGAGGTGGAACCGGAGAAGCCGCAGATGTCTGCCCCCACCAAGGGAATTCCAAAGAGGCTGAAGCTCAGGATGCCTGGGGATGTTCGGAGAGGGCAGGAAAGAGGATGAGAGAGGGGGCCAGGCACCCACTGAACCTTCAGGTGCAGGGGGCTTCCAGGTGGGATTCGCCCCAACACGTCACAGCACCCACCTGGGATAGACCAGAACATGTCCTTCCACTCGCTTCTGTTGTCCCCAAGCCAATGTCCCGAATACTTGCCCTGGCTTGGGAAAGTGGAGCGAGAGATGACAAAGGGCCGCTTCCCCTTGATTTGGACCAGAGCGCTGAAAGGGAGTAAAAAGTTATAATAGGACCCCCGTATCCCACCTTGGTGGGAAGGGAAAGGCGCCCCATGTCTAGTTGTGCTGGCCACGTGACCACGGAAACTGTCTATGGACAAAATGCTCGCTCTACGGCTTGGAAATGGTGATGAGCACCGCACCCTAGAGTCGGACACGACTGGACTCAATGTAAAGGGGAACCTTTACCCTTTACCTATCTGTGCGGTGTCAAGCCTCTCGCAGATGACAAAAAACGTGGATTGCAAACCTGATGCCTAGCGTGGCTTCTGGCCCCTTCTAGTGGCCAGCTCTGGTAAATACATGATGGAAATACATATTTCTGGGTTTTTTTTTTCTTTTAATCTTTTTAAATATTTTCAGGGCACAGATAAGTGAGACCGTGGATACTGATCCCACAGATACGAGGGTCCTAGAGTAGACACTATAAAAATTATAGGGATTTACTTGCCACACCAGTGTCTTTTTATCACACGGCATGAAAAGGGACCTCAATTCCCAACCTGGTCCTGGAAACGGCTTCTGCCTGTCAGCTTCCCCTCCCTGTCCCACAAAAGCAATTTTATCCACAGGCACGAGGGAAGGGAGAGGAGGGTTACCTTGCAGTCGCTTTGGCTTCCATCAGCCCGTAGAGGTTGTGGAGGTTGTAGTGGGATGACGTGTTTTGTCTGGCAGAGGCACAGATGGTCTTGGCTGAAAGGGAGCCCCCCAGGATGGCTGTGGCAAGAGGAAGGTTGGTCAGAAGCAGAAAAGGAGACGTCAGTGTTCGGAAGTTTTGTCTGTAACATCTGCACAAGGGCAAATGTTTCTACACATGCACCCATACACACACACACAAAATCAATCACAGTTTTGAGGTTTGATGGGATCCCAAGGGCCCCCCTAATCCAGCTCTCCAGAAATGCTAAGAATCCACAGCTCAATGACCCACGACAGACAAGCTGCCAGCCTCTGTTGAAAAACCTCCAATGGAGGCGAGTCCACCGCCGTCTGAGGCAGCCCATTCCTCTGTCAAACAGACCTTACTGCCACGAGAGTCTTCCTAAGGCTCAGCCCAAACTGCCTTCCCCTCATCCCTTGGATGAACGGGCTCAACTCCAAACACAGCAGCAGAAAACAAGATTTCTTTGTCTTCTGAGTGACAACCATTCAAACACTTAAAGACTGTCTACCTGACATTTCCACTTAAAGGATCTCAAGGAAGTAGGGGCAGAAACGCAGGACAACATTCAAGCAGAAATCAACCTTTCCCCTGTTGAATATACACCCGTACCCTGAGATTTTTCCCCCCGGAAAGCTTGAGAAGAAAGACAGGACCCTGAAGCTTTTGGTTAAAGCTTATGGTTTCAAACTCCATCTCCCCAGAGTTTGGAAAAGATCCTCAAGGTTTCAGATTGTCTCTCCCGTAATGCCATGGAGAATCCTCTCCTGATGACATCACTAGTGAACTTCTTGCTTGGCCCAGCCACCCCCGATGCCCACCTCCTCCAGGTTTCGCTGTTTGTTAGGCTGCCCCGACACTACAAGGAAGTACAATAACTACCCTTCTTGTCAGCTGGGTAAGTGTAGGCCGGCCAGGGACAATGGTACCGATTTGATGGCCTGCCGGCTCAAGCCAGGAGTGATGTGACACCTCCCAACAGTGACAGCCTTAAAGTAACACGGTTGAACTTGTTCAAAACCCAACGGGATCCAAAATCATCTTCCCTCCTTACCAGGAACGTAGGGTGGGTTGTCCAGTTCTCCTTGAGAACAGCCTTCTGATGAGCCGTCCATAAAGTTGGATGGTTCGTTCATGTCCTACAAGCAACGAGATCAATGGGTGGGTTTAAGAAGGCCCAGTTCACACAGCGGAAATGGAAAGCAAAGTTTTCCTCCAGCACTGATCAGATCCAAGGTTCTGCCTAAAACCAACAGGATTGCTCTAGGCGTGTTTTAGGTGCCCAGGACTGTTGCAGCAACATCACTATCCCTTATTTGTTCTTATTTATAAGGAACAACAATCTAAATGCTGAGTTCTTCCTCAAAAACCACATTCCGTCAAGTGCCTTTAGCACAACCCTTAATTTCCATGCTGTGCTATATTGAAGAGGAGGTATAAAGAGCATCCTTCCTTTTTCAATCACTGCTGTGGCAAATTTTACACTGTGAAGCTCCTAGGGATGGGAATCGGTCCTCTTAAACCAGCGATGGGGCTGTAGTTAGATCCATTTGGAAGGTACTGGGTCGAGTAAGGTCACTCTATGTTCATGCTAAAGCTTCTTGTTTCCTATTTTAAAGCATCTAGATCATGCACGCCCATGTTTTGTAACACAAAGAAAAGTGAAGCAGAGACTTACGATCCAAACACCATCAAAGGGGACGAGAGAGTAGAAGCGACTCAGGTTTTCCAGCCACCACTGGTGGGTATCTGGGTTAGAAAAATCAGGGTAGGCGGTGAGACCAGGCCAAACCTAGTAGGGGAGAATTTAAAAAAGAGAGAGAGAGACAAGAACACAGACATCTAATGCATAAAATTCAGAAAAGGTTGCAAATCTGACCAATAAAAATCTATGGGACTTTGTAGTTCAATGCATCTGAAGGGCAAGAGGGTTGGGAAAAGCCGACAAAAGGCAGTAAGAAGAAGCTGTAATATACAAAATTGTGTTTGACACAGAGAGGTTAGAGGGACAAAGAGATGGCTTTATTTGGGTCCTTGTGTCCCTCTGGAGCAATCAAAAAGAGGCAACGTGTCCCTACTGATGCTCTCACCTTCCCTATCAAAGGCTTCCCTTCCGTGTTGTTGATGAAGACGCCACGCTTTAAGCCTTCGTCGTAAGGCCAGTAAGAGCCCGGAGAGGAAGCGCTGCTGATCCCAGGATCCTGTGGAGGGTGGGGGACAGGAGACAAAGCACAGGAGGTCACCTGCTGTTCTGGAGACACAGGCCAGGCTGGGAGAAACCAGGCTCATGAGACCACCAACCCTCTGAGCTAGCTGGTGAAAGGAATTTGTAAATCAGTTCGGCTACAGTTCCCAGACAATATCATTTTTATTTTTATTTATTTATTGCTGTTTTGCAGCTGGAGGGGAGGACAGCATCCTAGCATTTCAGTGTTGGGTATGGAAAAGGAGGAATTCCTTTCTCCGAAGGCCCCCGTGTATCCAACACTGAATACAACAGCGAAATGGAGCCCTCTGCTCCAGCTCCTTTGGTTCGCTTGCTCCCCTGTATGTCACGCCACGGCTGGCTGGCCTGCAATGGTTTGCCACCTGCAGCTACCACGTGGGCACCTAAAAACCGATCAACCAAAGAAACCGGCAAATGGCAGCTTACCACAATCATCACGTAGGACTGCCCGTGTTTGTGAAGGTCTCCCACCAGTTGAGGGAGCGCGCCGAACTTCTGCGGGTCTGTGGTGAAGTCCCGATAGCTGTCCATGTAGTCAATGTCGTTCCACTGAGCATCCTGCAAGAGCCGCGGGAAAAGGGGGGATGTTGAAGGAGGGGGATGGAGTCGTTCCAGCATCAGGCTAGATCGGGGGGGGGGACCCAGGTGTGAAACCTGACTTAGCCCTGAAAGCCACTGGGTCGTCTCGAGATCATCAGAAGTGAAAAAGAAACAAAAGGTCCTGCCCTCAACAGCCCTGCTCAGCTCTTGCAAACTAAGCCTGTGGCTTCCTTTAGGGAGTGAGTCCATCTTGTATTGGGTCTTCCTCTTCTCCTGCTGCCTTCCACCATTCCCAGCATGATTGTCTTTTCCAGAGAAACCTGCCTTCTCACGGTGCGGCCAAAAAAGTAGGGCAGCCTCAGCTCCGACATTTTTTGCCTCCAAGCCAGTCTGATCACAGACCTGCTTGCGTCCACGCGCCTCTTTTTACCTGGGGGATCTGAAAGTTCCTCATGGCTTTCACCGTCTCCCAGGTCTCGTTGCTCGTTCCATAACCCCAGCGGCAGAGGTGGAAGCCCAGAGCCCAATAAGGGGGCATGGCTGGGAAGCCTGAAACCAAAGCAGAGGGCACGTAAAGGCATGGGCCTCGCAACTCAGAGCGGCCACCCCACGCCCGCCGCTGTCACACACGCGCATTCCTCCTGCACTTCGGCACCTGTAGCCCTTGTACAGAAATGCTTCCCTTGGAGAAAATAAAAACAAATAAAGACAACATGAAAGGCCAGCTTGGTCTGATCAATTTCTCCAGGACTGGTAGTGTCAGAAAAGCAGAAATACTTCAGGCAGCTAAAACAAAATTTTAAAAAAAGAGGAGGCTGTAGTAGATATGGGCCCCCCATGGATCTCCTCCTTGACTGGCAGGGAGATGTTCTGGGGAGACGTTAAGAGGGGCAGTTTCCCCTGACTCTAGAAGGCCTTCCCCTCAGACTTGTAGAGATGGTCATTTTTGTTTCAGCATCAGGTTAAAACCGAGCCATTCGCCCTCACCTCTGTTGCCTAGTGATTTCTGCTCTCTCAAATTACAGAGTTTATTTTGCTTGTTGAATGGTTTCAAAACGTTTACGCTTCTTAGATGATTCTACAAGTCTAGCATGGATCGCAACAGAGTTTATTTTGCTTGTTGAATGGTTTCAAAACGCTTCTTAGATGATTCTACAAGTCTGGCATGGATCGCGCCCTACCGTGAGATCTTCAGATACAGGGTGGGTGATGGGTATTTCAGTAAATACATACTTGGCCCAGAGAAAAGGCCACGGTCATGAACGGACTCCTGGCTGGACGGCAGGACGGTCTTGCCAGCCGGAGGAAACAGGCTTCTCCACTCTGGCGCGATGGTGTCAGGAACTCACCAGCTCTGTGCCCAGTGGGAAACTTCCCAGGGCTTCAAGGACGGAGTACCTCCCCTGGCACCGAAGAAGGGGTTAGGAACAGCCCCCATGGTGCTTCCCTCCGCCCTCCCACACTTCCTATTTTGGCCGAGGGACCTCCTTAGGCAGTGACTACATTCCTCTGCTTTTGCTTTCCTCTCCCTGGCTGCTGCTGCGGTGGCGGGTGCTCAGTTTTTCTGGCACGTGGCTGGTTTGAGATGGGAACTCTTTTCGGCCAGGGCAGGGAACCTTCGGACACTCACCAACGACCTGCTGGTACTGCTGGACCACCAGGTTGGGGTCGGGTCCTAGAAAGATGTAGAAATCCAGGACTCCGCCGATGGTCCTCCAGGTGAGGGCGGGAGCAGGCTGAAGGGACACCTCTGGGCAAGGGATGGAAGACAGAGAAAAAGACATCGAACGCAATCGCTCTCAGAGCATCCTTGAGCAATTTCCTGTCAAGACAGAACTCTCCATGGTTGCACTCCAAAAACCTGAGGATGTTTCAAAACCTGGGTCCCTTTCAACAGGCTTTTTTTTTCTGCATGACCTCCAGCGGAGTGTATACATACATGGTGAAAGGCTGGATATTACAAATCCACTTTCCCATACCTAAACCTCTCTAGAGGTGTTGTATTCCAGCTTAACCATCCCCAGCTCCTGCTTGGGCCACACTGGCTAGCTGTAACTCAGAGGAAATCCCATTTCTTTGGGTGCCAATAATAACACTTGGTGCCCCAAGGGAAAAAAAAGCAAGACTTCGAAGTGGGTCAGGTGACTTGTCCTCCTGTCAGCTCCCACTGGCCTGCATTCCTTCGAAGCACAGATTCTTAAGGGTCCTTGGAAGGCCTAAGGAAACCCCGGCTTCTCTCTCTGCTGGTGACCTCGGTGACCATTATAGGCCTGTGGTCCCAGTTGATGCTGGCCACGTGTTCTTTGCTCTCTCTTCTCCTCCATCAGCTGTTCTACTTTCTCCGTGTAACCCATAGGTGGAGGGCCTCCCACAGAAGGTCAGAAAAAGGTGGCCGACTAGGAGATGTGGGGGCAGCTGGTCCCAGAGACAAAAAAAGCCCACAGCTGTAAGATGCGGTTAAACTGCCTGCCGGTTGCTAAAGAACCCACCGCTAGCCAGGAAACAGATGTCTTTGCTCCACCAAAAGCTGTACAACCACATTCTTCCCCCACATTGCCCATATGCATCTTGACCCCCAGGTTCCTGAAGTACCGGCTTGGATCAGCTCCAAGACCCACACAATGATCGGAAAAGGAGGAGAAGCGGGGCATTGGGGGGGGCAGGAGGGACAAGATGGAGGCAATGCTGCTTCCTTCATTTTGTCAGGCAAGATATTATATGATTTAACAAAGAACCTCTCAAGTTGTTTTTAAGAGTTCTCTGCGGCTCAGGATGCAGGGAATACATCTATAGCAAGAGGATACAAAAATGAGCAAGCCATCGGACAGACAGAAAGTTTTAACATTTTGGCATTGCTCTTCCTCGGTAGCAAACTTTAAGATTTCAAATAATGGCTGGGAGGCAAGGTGACGATTTTAAGAACTCTCAGAGTGGGGTGACCTTGCAATACGAGCCAATGCATGGCAGAGTGGTTAGGGTTTAAGACTGCACGTTGGGAGTCCCAAATGAGCGATGAAACTCACGAAGGGGTCCTGGGCCAGTCCCCCCTCCCTTTCAGAATCTGAGAGTTTACTGGGAGCCCAAACTGTGCTGCTGAAGAAGGCTCAGCCAAAGCACTTGGTCCTTCGTTTATTTTCGTGCATCCTGGTGACTGCGGCACCTGACCCATTAGAAGAAGGTCTGGCTAAATAGAGTGAGATTTCTAGATGTTGTATCTTTTCCCACATTGATACAAGACATCTGGAGGACACTGAGTTCGGAAACTTTACTTTACTTTTACTGGATTTTTACCCCGCCCCCCCTAGACAGTCTACTCAGGGCAGCTTACATACATAATAAAAACATAAACAACATCCTAAAAACATTTAAAAGTTCAAATTTTTAACAATTATATAAAGGGCTAATCCACATTCGCCCCCGCCCCCCCAAGAAGGGAGCGCCTTCCGCCTGACAGTCAACCCCCTTCTCCAAAGATACAAAGGAGAAACACACCCATTGCGTTGCTATTCAAGAGGAAAACCCCGTGGGCAGCTCCACCTTTCTCCATGACAAGATAAAACGGGTGAACGCCGTAGAGATTGCAGGACTCCTGAAAGAAAGGGGGAAGGGGACAGGAGAAGCAACGTTGCCTTCAGTAACGGGCTTCCAAACCCCACGAATGTGAACAAACTGCTCTCACGACGAAGCAGCTGCTCCGCAGAGGTTGACCTGCGGCTGCAGAGGCCACCCAGGGAACCCACTTCATAGCCATTAGACAGCCTTCGGTGGAAGGGTCCAAAGCCCGTTTTCAGGCTCAGAAGCCAGTGGCCGTTGCCTCCTCTCATGCAGGTGACCAAGTTCAATGAGCTGATTATGGGTTCAGATTACATGGCGCTGAGCCATGTATTACATTTGTTCTTGGACATGACTCTGGAAGAGCTAAAGCGCAAGAAAGAGGAGCCGAGCTTGGCCAGAGGTTAGATGCCCATCTCTTTGTGGACGCTTGGGCTGTGGATGTCCAACGCAGATAGCAGGCTGGGTGAGAGGACCTTTAGGGACCCTTCTTACTCCTGCCATTTTATGAGGCTAAGTACTTCCCCCCCCCCTTCTCTAGGTCCCATGTTTATGCAGAAGCCATAGTTCCCGTGTGAGTCAGTGGCTGCAAGTCTAGAACCACAAGATGACAAGGGGATCAAGATGACAAGGATGAGCCCTCCCTCTTTAGCAAAGGGGTCCTCTGGTGGGTGGAGGACCTCCTCCCACACAGGTGATCTTAAATGTGTTTTAAACCAATCTTCCCCCAGTCTAGCCCCTTCCAGAGTCCCCCCCCCGGGTTGTGGAAGACTGGCTTTAGCCACGGCAGGTTCTGTTCACAATTGTATCTTTGGTCTTTGACCATCTAAAGAAGAAGAAAGAAGAACAGATCTGCAGGGACAGCAGACACGCCCCAGGTGTGAGAACTCGCACACTGTGCACAGAAGTTACCGTGGGAGGGACATCTCGAGCCCAGAAAGTCAAGGTGTTCCACTCCAGACTGTGTAGAAAGTTGCTCTGGTGTTCTCCCAGGCCATAAAGGTAGGCAGAGGGAAGGAGGGTGGAAACCTGGAGAAACTGGTCGGCATAGAAGAGAGGAGCCACCGTGGTGTTCAGCCTAGAGAAGGAGAAAAGGGGATCAAAATGGGCTGACTGTCCTGCACAGGTAGCCGGGGTTCCCCTTTGAGAACCCCCTCCCCCCCAAAAAAAAGACATGGAGGTCAACAGAGCCAAGACGAGAATGGCAGCATAGGCAACAGTCAAACCCATGACTTGTTTCTGCACTGAATGGATGCCACCTTCATGAGAAGAGCGAACGGCAGGAAAGGAGCTGCCCTGAAGCAGTAGCTGGCCAGGCAAATCTGCACTGAATGGATGCCACCTTCATGAGCAGACCGAACGTAGCTGGCCAGGCAAAGGGGGGGCAGAAGGCTGCAACTCTCTCCTCTGGACAGGAACTTCCTAATTTTTCCTGCACAAAACTTGCATCTATTTGAACTGAGTAAATATGTTCCATAACTACATTCCAACTACATCTCAAACAAAGCATTTTTGTTTTGTTTTGTTGCTGAAGCAGCCTGACAAGTTAAGGTGTCATATGAAAATAAGGACAACATAGATTTCAGATTTCTCCCAACGTCAGTTTTTGCCTGAAAAAAAAAAGAGGAGGTGATTGGAACCCCTCGCAGCTTCGGCATTTCGGGAAATGTTACATCCCCAACCACGGGCTGCGTGGTCATTTAGGGTTGCTGCTTCCCTTCAAAGGAAGGACTCCTTCATTCAGAACAACCATCCCCACGTGGATCGTCTTGGGGAAGACAACCTCCGCCCTCCCTGAAAACTGAACAAAAGGTCAATGGGTGTTGTAGCCTAAAGCAGTGGTTCTTAACCTTTGCTACTCAGATGCTTTTGAACTGCAACTCCCAGAAACCCCAGTCAGGACAGCTGGTGATGAAGGCTTCTGGGAGTTGCAGTCCAAAACTCTTAAGTAACCCAAGGTTAAGAACCAGTGGCCTAAAGCGCCTGGATAGTTCCAGCTGGGATGATGTTGCTTTAGAAGCTACCCACCCACCAGGCCTCTGTGGCCGTGTTTGAAACAGGCTTCTGGCACGAGAGGCCCTCTTGCCCAGGGTAGCCTCTGAGGGAAAGCCTGGAGGCATCTCATCAGGCCTGCCACAGAGGCCTGATTCTTCCCATGGGAGAGACCAAATCAGCCAAGCTGGCTCTTACAGAACGGTCCCCGAAGCTTTCCGCGTCACTATCAACCCAAAGGGCTCCTTGGAGAACTCCACCGCGTAGACAGGATTCTCTGCTTTCCTCTTCGCTGTAGGTACATCCAGGGGCACCTCGTACCGAGGACTGGACGCATCCGTGATCTGTAAAAAGCAGGGGGAAATCACAGAATTATGGAGTCAGAAGGGGCCCCTAAGGCCGTCGAGTCCAACCCCCTGCTCAAGGCAGGAATCCACATCCAAGCAGATCTGAAAGGGGGGGGGTGTCCAATTTTCTCTTGAGTGCCTCCAGCGCTTCCCGAGGTCATGGGTTCCCTTGTCATCCTGCTCTAAAAGTTAAGAGGTTTTTCCTGCTATTCAGCCTAAATTTGGCTTCCTGTAGCTTGAACCCATTATTACGAACCCTTGCATGTAATAATACAGAAACAGACACATACAGGTAAAAATTTTAGGGCAGAGACTGTGGGCAAAGGGTTTTCAACTAGGGGCACCAAACGAAGACACCCTTGGGCTTATGCATACCACCAAAAAAAGCCATGTTTGTGGTGCATCAGAAAAGATTTCAAAATACACCATCAGGCAAACCCTTTAAGAGGATGACCTAAATAGGCACAAAATTGTGAGCAAGCTTTTGAGATCTCCAGCCCACTCCACCAGACAAGGTGTGGCAGAAAGCCAACAGGTTAATTTGGTAAAGTTGAACAGGCAGACTTTGCTGGCTTCAGCTTACATGCCAAGCTGTTGGGACAAGCAAACACAAAATTACTCATTGGCTATATAACTAGCAGATTTTATATTTTCAGACATGGGGGAATTAGCTGTTGGAAACCTGTGCGACACCACATAGAAACCCAAACCATTTAGGTCTATGCTTCTTCTTCCCATTCATCTTAAGACTTTGGCTAGGCAGATGATGTGACAATTATCAAACACTTTCCCAATCTCTAACTTTTTCTTTCTCTAGTTTTCTGTGATGTTCTACCTCAAGAATCGACCCGAAGATCTTGAACGCTCACTTACAATCCTATGTATACAGTAGGATTGCCATATTTGCAGGATCAGTACCTGCACTTTCACTTATTCACGGCCTATATATACTGTATATCTATATAGGTAAAGGAAAAGTTTCCCCTTGACAAATGTCAAGTTATTGTCCGACTCTAGGGTGTGGTGCTCATCCCCGTTTTCAAGCCATAGAGCCAGCGCTTGTCCATAGACAGTTTCCACGGCCACGTGGCCAGTGCGACTAGACACGGAACGCGGTGACCTTCCCACCGAGATGGTACCTATTTATCTACTCGCATTTTTACATGCTTTCGAACTGCTAGGTTGGCGGGAGCTGGGACAAGTGACAGGAGCTCCCTCCATCACGTGGATTCAATCTTACGACAGCTGGTCTTCTGACCCGGCAGCACAGAGGCTTCTGCGGTTTAACCTTGCTATATCCACGATTTCCAGCATGTGCATTTGTTTAGTTCTCATAAAGCCTGTGCTTGTGGGCACTTATAGGCCAAATGAGGCCCACCAGCCCAGGCAGTGACTCACCTTGACATGCAACCGAGCATCCGTCTCAAACTCCACGCTGAGCTGCAGCTTCTCAATGTCTTTGGGGTAATAGGTCTTTGTTTTCCTGGTCAGAAAGCCCACCATCCCCAGCTCTGTCTCGTTCACGCTGCCCAAGGTGTAGCTGGGGAAGTCAGGTGGGTAAAAGCACCAAGGCACGCCACTGGTGCCACCAGAGCCCTGCTGGCTGTCGACAAAGCAGCAGCCCCGGCCTTCGCACAGTTCTCGAGTCACGACGACATTTCTTTCTGGGTAACAGTCAAAGCGAAGGTCTTCCGGAATAGAGATGCACTTCGTCAGGGGGTGAGTTTCGTGCTGACTCCACCAAATTTGCCCGAGCACCCAAACAGTCACTCCGCTAAGGAGACCAGCTACCATTAGGAGACCTCCACCCAGCCACCAGGCAGACAGCTTCTGATGGCACAACGGCTTCTCATCAGCGGCGTCCTCCGTGGCTTCAGTAATCTGGGGGACGTATGTCGTCAGCTTCTGATACAATTTCATTTTCTGGATTCTGGATATTGAAAAAAAAAAGAAATAATTTCCGTTGTAACAGTAGTTATAAGGTTCACAATTACGGGAAAGGAAGAAACAATCTCATTCAAGTCATAGTGACTTTCAGATTAGACTACTCTAATGCTATGCTTAAGAGACTGCTTAAAAATGTCCACTGGCCAAAACAACTGAAAGGCTGGGGCTGACTGTGCGAAGCAAATATAGCTGTTTGGAAAATTCACTTGCTGACAGTTCATTTTTCTGTTGGGGTTGACTTACGGTATATTATTGGTGGATTCTGTGGCCTCTGGAAGACCCTGGGGGCAGAAAACTGGCCCCTAAGCCTGCCAGTCGCCCAACGCTGCTTTCGGCTTTAAAACTCTCTACAGCCTAGAAGAACTGCCTATACCGTGAACCAGCACAGACACAGAGATCATTTCAAATTCTTTTCTCTAGGTATGCCACCAACCAAATTTTCCTCTGCACAAAGAAGAACTTACACCAGTAAAGGCAAGGAAGGCTGGTATTCCTGTGTGTGTGATTATCCTGATGCAAAGAAAATGGATCATGCTGTGCTGTCAAATATGATTCAGAGTTATGGTGACCTTCCTCCAGCATTCTATGTATAAAGTGGTCAGGAATGGCTTACAATCCCTTCCTTCTGGTGATGCTCTGTATCAATGTGCAGCTCTTCCAAAGCAACATAGGTAGCAGGACATGCAACCCCATCACAGCTACATATCCTCCAGGTGATCTCAGCGGGTCCTGTCTTAGAAGGCCCAGTAAGGATTTACATCTAAAGGGCATTTTTGGTGGTATGTTGAGAAAACTGAACAGTTAAGACAGAGAACATGAAAATATTGATTCGTTTGAAATCTGGTGCTGGAGGAGAGCTTTGTGGATAGGCTGGACTGTCAGAGAGACAAACAAGGGGATCCTAGAGCACATGAACCCTGACCTGATCTCTGGGGGCAGAAATATCGAAACTGAGGCTGTCCAACTTTTGGACACATCATGAGAAAACAGGAAAAGACAATAATGCTGGGAAAAGTGGGAGGCAGCAGGAAAAGAGGAATAAGGGACTGACCCCCTAAAAGAAGCCACAGGCTTGAACCTACAAGAGCTGAGCAAGCTAGTGGAGGACAGGAGATTTTGGAGATCAGTCATTCATGGGATCGTCATAAGTGGGAAGCAACTTGACAGCACACAACAACAATTTGAGAAAAACATCTCATGGCTTATATTATTTTCTTATCACATAATGCTTTTTTTTTAAGTAATGAAAAAAATATTGAAAGCATATTGAGAAAAGTAACCAGCTACTTTGCTAAAAAGCGAATGAAGAAAGAGTTGCTTTCTCAGTACCAGTGGTGCCTCACTAAACAGTTACCCCGCATGACAGGTTTTTTTCGCTAGACATTGACTTTTTGCGATCGCTATAGTAATTCGCAAAACAGTGATTCCTATGGGGGAATTTCGCTGGACAATGTTTGGTCCCTGCTTAGCAAACCGATTTTCGCTAGACGATGATTTTGACAGCTCCCTCCGCGCTCGCAAACAGGTGTTTTCAGGACCTAAGCTTCGCAAGACAGCGATTTAAACAGCTGATCAGCAGTTCGCAAAGCGGCTTTCCTACGGCCGATCTTCGCTAGACAACGACGACGCTTCCCCATTGGAACACATTAAACAGGTTTCAATGCATTCCAATGGGGAAATGGTTTTCACTAGACAATGATTTCGCTAAACAGCGATTTCAGTGGAATAGATTATCATCGTCTAGCGAGGCACCACTGTATTAGAACGACCAATGGGAGCAATCTTTTCTTTTTTTAAAAAAAGGTAATCCAGGTTATGGTAAAAAAAAAGCATATTAACTTCCACCACGAACTAAAAGGTGAAATAGCCAATCTGAGTGTGTGAGGTGAGGAATCAGGCAAGTGTGAAGACCAAACCACATTTTGGGCGTTGCATCTAAACCCAGAACTCTTTCTTCATTCCTTTTAAAAATGCAGCACTCCTTGGCCACATTTGTAGATTGTTCCTACAGCGAGCAAACACGCCTGAAACAACTTCACGTACTCTTCAAGGAAGCTCTCTGAACGTGCCAAAAGGCTACGTATTACAACCTGATCCTGTTCATGTTTATTCAGAAACCAGTCCCGCTGGCTTCAGTATCTATTACTCACAAGAATTTCCAATCTTCCTGTTACTTCTTGCTCCTAACGCTAAAAAGGAAAAAAAAAGAGGAGGGAGGAAACAATGCCATGCTAAGAAAGGTATATTTAACTGGTAAAAGATGCTGATGCATTACAGGCACAGGCTCCTTCTTCAGAACCTAGGACGGGTTGAGGCCAAAATTTGCACCCTCAGCTCCACTAAATTTGCCAGGGCTTAACAGTACAAAAAACGGCCACAGACAAAACTGCCATTATCAGCATAACCAGCTAGAGGCTAGTGCTTGCTTCAGCTCCCTGTCAAAACTATTGAGCTGTTTCACTTTCTTCTCCTTTTATGAGTTTTGCTATCTTACAATAAACACCCACGAAGCCTTTTATTACACTTTACCTCTCCATGGAGAAATGGAACATAAAATGTAGAGTTTGCCCCCTCGGGTACAAACCCAGGCTGTCCAACAAGGAAGATGAGCAGATGAGATGGTCTCATTCCTAGCTGGGCTCACCTCCAGCTTCGACACTTCTTAAGTGTTGGGCGTTGTTGTGGAAGGTGGAGGTGAATCCAGCCGTGTAAGTGGATCCATTATCCCTTTGTTGTCGCATAAAATATGGTCCTTTTAATGACCATAAAGATGCCCTGGGTCTTTTTAAGGAGAAAGATGGGGGGGAAATATTTTAAGTAAATAAATAATAAATAAATACATCCAGACCGGCCTATCCGAATGTGATTCATCTTCTTATAACACAGAACTTGAAACAGCGACCAGATAGGCAGGGTATAAATGAAACAAACAAACAAACACAAAGCAGGCTCCCCCCCCAGGCCTTCCCATTTCTAGCTACAGACACAAAATTTCCAGAAATTTTGAAGCCTGGGCTTTGGGAAAGAAGAATTGGAAAAAAAATGCAAAAACTGAGGGAAAGACAAGCTTTTTTCCCCCCAGGATTTCC